TTGAAAGAGAAGAGTGTTGCCTGAATAAGGAGCTGTAGCAGGAATCACGAAAAAACGGTCCCATTTAGCTGGGCTAAACAGAGTATTTAATGGTTAATGGTTAATGGTTAAGATAAATGTGCTAGACATCTAAGGTCATATAGCACTATAGGAAAGTATAGTAAAGAGGGATGTCAGGTGACAGTTGTAATGTGTCAACTATCTAGAATATTGTTGAGAGGTTGAGGATGAGGGAAAAGATTATGGTGGTTTAGGTAAGGGAGTTAGATCAAGTGAAGGATATTTATGTGTCTGAGGAAGGAGAACAGGTTGTCGAGGCAGAAACTGTGAGATTCTGTAAGGATGTCTGATATGTTGGGAGGTCGGTGAAGGGAGGATAGGTGTGGAAAAGCAGAGGTACGTGCTGTATTAAAACGTGGACTGGACAAGAGAATGTGTGGGACTGAAATAGGGATGTTACACAGAGGAATAGCTGTGCACGGGACAGAAGTTTGTATGGGAGGTATGACATAAGGTGTTTTATGATGGATAAGTATAGACGAGACATAAAGGGAGTGTGGGGAAGAGATAAAATGGTAATTAGGAATTGGAATAGGAGGGTGTGTGAGGAAAGTCTCTTGGAGGCAGATAATAGATGGATTATAAGAAGCAAGGATATGACGTAGGTCTGATCTATGAGAGCGGAAACCGCGAATATTCCAATGTAGGAGAGCTATATCCTAGTTGATTTATGAATGATAACACATTTACGTGTTGGGGAATTTGAAGGGGAAGGAGCTAGGGGGTGTAAAGGAGGGATATTAGGAGGTAGGGAGTCTGGAGAAGGGCATTGTTGTGCCATGAGTGATTCTCGTGTGTATCCTGGAGGGAGTGCAAAGGATAGAGGGGATGGAGGGAGGGAGAATGTGCCTATAGTTGGGGTTGAAGGGGGTGGGTTGTGTTGGGAGGGAGTAGATGTGTGGGGAGTTAGTGTTAGGAGGATGAATATCAGAAGGATGGATAGTTGGAGTTGAAGGGGATGTGTTGTCTTGGGAGGGATTAGGAGGAAAGGGTGTAGGGGTGTTGTGAGTAAGAGGGGGATGCATATCAAGGATGGGTATTGGGAGGATGGATATCAGTGGTGGTTGGGATTGAGGGGGTTAGGTTGTGTTGGGAGGGAGTAGGAGGAAGGGGTGTAGGGGGAATATTAGTAGGAGGGTTATGAATATCGGCAACCACTTCAAGTGTGGAAGGAGCATGAGTTATGGGATTTTGTGTCTCAAGCATATAGCTTTGAATGTCATCCATTGTTTCTGCAGTGGAGTTTGTTGGAGAGTTTTGTGAGAAGGTAATTGTTTCTGCAATGGAATTGGTTGGAGAGTTTTGTGGAATAAAGGTTTTCTTATGAGGGGGGGAAGAGGAGACTGGTGTCTCAGGAACAAAGGTATAGGTAGGTGGAGGTGATTGTGCTGTAGGGGAAGAAGGGTTAGAACGTTTAGTCTGTCTACTGCGGGTAGTGCGGGGAGGGAGAGGGTTGGTGTTGGGGCTGTAGTTGAGATAGGAGCTGTGGTTGAGATTGGGGTGTCTGGGTTTAGAGTGGCAAAGGAATTGGTCTGAGGGATGTAGAATGTAGAAGTGGAAATGGGGACATTTTGGGTGGAGGGGGAAGGGCTGAGCGAACGATGTTGCTAGAATATGGAGTATGAGAGAAACCTTGTCGACGTGCTTCCTGTCTGGCTTCACGTAAAGTGAGACCATTTTTGTATCTGAGAGTTGCTACCTCAGATTCAAATTTGTAAGTGGGACAGCCTCTATAAAATACATTATGGGGGCCGCCGCAGTTAGCACATGTTCGTGTTTGTGCTGAGCAGTTTGATCGATTATGACCAGGTTGGGCACATATGGGGCATCGGTCTGTGGAACGGCAATGTTTGGCAGGATGTCCAAAGCGCCAACAGTTTTGACATTGACGTGGAGGGGGTTGGTATGGTCGAACAGGGAGGGATTGTCCACCAATGTAGATACGTAAGGGAAGGTCATGTGTACAGAAGGTAATTTTGGCAATATTGGTCGGATTCTTTCGTTGACCTTTAGGAGGAATGGTGTAGCAATGTACTGATTTCACATCTTGGTCTTTGAGGCATCCTAATAAGTCTTCTCCACAGTCTGACCAATCTTTGGTATCGACTGGGCAGTTTGCTGGGGAGAGAGAGACAGTTCCGGTACAGGTATTAAGGGTTGCATGAGGTTCTGCAGGAATGGGGTTGCCAGAATGATCAGTTAAATTTGACAGTGCTATAGATTCAGTTTCTGATCTGACTGTTACCAGACGGGAGCGATCGCGTCTGGTATAGAAAGGGACTCTACCTACTTGTTTTTGGAGGCATTGTTGAAAGAGAAGAGTGTTGCCTGAGTAAGGAGCTGTAGCAGGGATCACGAAAAATCGGTCCCATTTAGCTGGGCTAAACAGAGTATTTAAAGATATCTGTAGGGTTGGTGGTGGTGGATAGTCGGGGACGTGTGGAAGAGGGAGTATTACGGAATGATGGAGAATAAGGTTGCAAGGTAGTAATAAGGAGGATTGGTTGTTTGATGAAGGTTGCAGGGGTGGAGTTGAATTTGAGGAAGTTGGGTGGGTAGGAATGTCTTCTGGAGATTGATTCTCTGCTTGGGTGGGTAATGCACTAGTAGGCATTGAGGAGTGGGCAGTAGTTTCAGTGTTCGGAGCCGTGGTCAAAGGAGAGCCTGGGTTGGGGCTATTTGATAAAGGGGCTAGCCTCATAGCCTCTAATAAAGGGATTACATTCTCATTACTGGTCATGGGGAACCTGGATTATGTAAATAGGCCTATTCGGTCCACCTCCTTTCACTACTGAAGGTAAGGGCTAGATTAGTCAGGAGTACCGTGCCCATAGTTCCCGCTGGCCGTTCAGGACTGGCACTAGGTCAGCCTTTCATCCTCTCAGCACGGCTCTCACACCTTAGGAAGTAGATAGCAGGGGATGGAGAAGAGACGGAAACAAAAGCTGGAGAAAAAAAGACCATGCAAAATTAGTTGAGTCGAGGGCTGGGGCCCTAGGCAGGGGAGATCCCTGTATTGGGTCTCAGTCCTCGTCTCCTAAGCCCCCCCACGACAACAACGGGCAAGGGATTGGGGGGGAACAGAGTATTTAAGATATCTGTAGGGTTGGTAGTGTGGATGGTCGGGGACGTGTGGAAGAGGGAGTATTACGGAATGATGGAGAATAAGGTTGCAAGGTAGTAATAAGGGGGGATTGGTTGTTTGATGAAGGTTGCAGGGGTGGAGTTGAATTTGAGGAAGTTGGGTGGGTAGGAATGTCTTCTGGAGATTGATTCTCTGCTTGGGTGGGTAATGCACTAGTAGGCATTGAGGAGTGGGCAGTAGTTTCAGTGTTCGGAGCCGTGGTCAAAGGAGAGCCTGGGTTGGGGCTATTTGATAAAGGGGCTAGCCTCATAGCCTCTAATAATGGGATTACATTTTCACTACTGGTCATGGGGAACCTGGATTATGTAAATAGGCCTAATCGGTCCACCTCCTTTCGCTACTGAAGGTAAGGGCTAGATTAGTCAGGAGTACCGTGCCCATGGTTCCCGCAGGCCGTTCAGGACTGGCACTAGGTCAGCCTTTCATCCTCTCAGCACGGCTCTCACACCTTAGGAAGTAGATAGCAGAAGGGGATGGAGAAGAGATGGAAACAAAAGCTGGAGAGAAAAAAGACCATGCTAAATTAGTTGAGTCGAGGGCTGAGGCCCTAGGCAGGGGAGATCCCTGTATTGGGTCTCAGTCTTCGTCTCCTAAGCCCCCCGACAACAACAACGGGCAAGGGATTGGGGGGGATATATATACAAAAAAAAAAAAAAAAAAAAAAAAAAAAAAAAATCTATATATATATATATATATATATATATATATATATATATATATATATATATATATATATATATATATATATATATATATATATATATATATGTATAAATATTTTTGTTAATTTTCAACTTTATAAAATTCTTGAGTAAAACATTCCTTTGAATTTCTCGGAAAACAAAATAGCATAAATTCTTTAATATCCAACTGGTTTGGAGATGGACAGCAAGCAATTTTAATAAAACTATGTTCATAGACAATGCTTAACTGTGGAACCTTACCTTAGTTTCCAGCATAAATGTTTTGAAATCAGAATAATATAATTTGCCAATTAGCATAACTGTGTCCAAAATGAAGTTTTGTTCATACATTTTGATAACCAACACTTTACTTAGAACTACTGCTGTTATATGGTATTCATTGGCATATCAAGTGTAAGTACCTAAGCAACTGGTAGTATCATAGTTGTTTTCATTTCCATGCTTGCTCTATTACTATTATTTTTACATCCATATACAATCGAGTATATATTCTTAAACTTACGATTGGCTTATGTTAAGGGAAAGTGACTACTGACCTACAATTTTTATCCAGTGGCAGACATTTCCATGGCTTCTCTTAAGTAAAAAATCTGTTTCCATAAAACATGCGATATCTATTTTCATAATTCAGTGATTGTGAAAAAGTAAGTTTCCTTTACCTTTGTACATGAATTAATCAATAATAACAATAATAATAATATTACTAACATCGTAATGATTTCATATTTAATTTGATTATTATTGGTTCTTTTCATAATTACAACAGGACACTTTTCAGCATTTCAGATCAGCAAGTATAAATATCAGGAAAGATAAGCATAAAAATACATTGCAAACAGTGAAAACAGTTGCAAGTGATTTTCAACCATAGTACAAGCTGCAATTAATAAAATATGTAAATAGTTTTTAAGAACACTTATGGACACTAATATCAAAATCATGCATGCAGAGGTGTACTGAAGACTAGCAATGTGAAAAATCCATGGTCTTAATAATTATCTTCTGACAAAAGTTGAAGATCAGTATTATATTTTTCTCTTTCATTAAATGTACATTAAGTAAAAATATGGGATAAAGGAAATACAGTACACTAATAGATGGAGGTGTGGTATATATTTACATTTTATTATATAAGATTTTTCCAAAGATTCAAAACAAAACTTTCTCTGGTATTTTGGAGTACCATTTACACACACTAACCAAAAAGGAAAAAAAAAATGGTATTCACAGAGTAATTTCCTTCACTCTAGCTAGCTTTTCTGCAGGGAGAGATCACTCCATGGCTCCAGAGGTAAACAAGCAGTGAGGTATGAGTGGGTTCTTCCGGAATGTGTGCAGTCAACTTGCCATGCAGGGACCTCTCAAAAGCCCTTGATGAATGAGCACAAGCAGGACATGGACACAACTTAATCCAAACTGCCGGACTGGCTTTACTGCATTCAAGCCTATGTCAGAGAGATGTCACAGTTGGCACTTTTTTTGTTTTTGTTTTTTTAACTTTTTAGGTATCTTTTAAATACTTTTTTTTTGCACCGTCTGTTTGCAGCTCACTAACACTTTTTTCTCACTTCTTTGACACAAGTCTGATGATTTTAACAGGAATACATAAAAACTAAGCCACAGAAGGGGACAGGAAGGAGAAAAAAATATAAATAAAAAGTTTTAATTCTTTTCAAAAATAAGGAATATTGCAATTAATGAGCTTAATCATAATCACATGAATTACATCAATAGAATAAAAAAAATATATGAAACAATTTCTAACTAATCCTAACGCTTTCCATTATTATAGTTGACTGCACGCATAGGAGCCTTGAAGCTAGCAGCTGACTGCTGCTGAATTTGGTATGCCATTGGGTGAATCTTGAAGCCATAAAGCCTTGGTACAAATTGGTTGGTGGGCCGCTTGGGCCGGTATTCTGGATGGACCATGAAGAGCATGTGAGGGAAGCCAGTACCGAAGTAAGCTCCGTCTATGTGGTGGTGGCGAGAAGACTTTGGGGTGTAGACGTCACAGACAGCATTTTGGACAGTACAGCTTCACCATGGCCTCTCCTGGGACATCACTTAGACCAATGGGCAGCATTGGCTGGGGGGCAGAAAACAAAACTTGAAGACTGTCTGCCTGCAACAAAATTATGTAAATACTGAACATAGGAGTACACCCATTAATAGAATCACTCATCCTTGTGTTGATTCTTAGAGCAAAAATAAATAAACAAAACTGAAATGGAAATTATCATTACATAATTGAACTACAAAGTAAATATTAAGAAAATAACCATCAAAATTATATTAGGACTGAAAAATCATAATTTACAAAAAAGACATTGAAAATTGCAGCTAAGTAGTGCTTGTTATATATTAGACAAATGACACAAACACATACCCCAAACACTACGACGAGTAATTAATTAAAATAGGGACCAGAGAATTCACTTTAAAAAAAGAATAACCACAAATAAACAAAATAACAGTCTTCTGTTAGGATATTATTTTTACAATGGGAATATCATGAAAAATAATTAGTAAATCTGTACTTTTGAATATGCAGATAACTCGGCCATTATGAACAGTCTAATAAGGAATACAAAAAAGCATGCATTTCATTCTAGGGAAAGAAAAGGGAGGAGGATGGAGAGGAGGGGATAATAGGGGAGAGAACGGTGAAGGAGAGTTAAGGAGAGAATGTGTAGGTGAAATTGTGGGAAATTGAAAAGAAAAGAGAGAGGTATGTGGGGGAGAGGAACGCGAAGAGGGGGAGGGGAAGTTGTACTGACAGGGTTATTAACCACTAGCCGCCAGGTGGCATGTATGTACATGCCATGGCTGATGTGGACCGAAAAACGGATGGCATCGTATTATGACCATTCCCATGCCACTGGCTCGTCAGACGGAGTTTGTTATCTCCAATAGTAGTGGCTTCATTTATATGGTAAATATTTTAGGCAATACAACCTATAATGAAGGTAAACCTTCAAAATTATAATACTTTTATAAATTATAGCAAAATAAAAACTTTTAGGTGACAAATGTCGCTCGCAAACTAACAAACGAGCTGGGCGCAAACAGGGGAAACTGCCAATTCACCCCAACAATCCCGTTATTATGGCCACTTGCCAAACTTTTTTACCCGACAGCATTGGGTTAATCTTTCTATATCTAATTCATTTAAATAAAATAAAAATTTCATTGTTTGGAAAGTAATTCTTTAGCCCCTTTGATCCGGGTGACGTGACAATCACATTTTAAAAATTGGGTTCAAAACATGCTGTCCTAGGACAAAATGGCCTTAGACCGCGTAATGTGACCTTGCCATCATGAGCAAAGGCTAGGATGATGGAAAAAGACTCGCCATGAGTGCACAAAACTCTTGGAGGGTGATTAGACTTAATTGGCATTTAGAAGGGGGCTTCTGCATTATTTCCATTGATAAATGAGTGGAATGTAATAGCCATAAGCCATGACTGAAAGGCCGCTGGCTCCAGGGGGGGGGGGGTGGGGGGAGAGGGAGGGAGGGAGGGAGGGAGGGAGGGAGGGGAGGGAGGGAGGGAGGGAGGGAGGGAGGGAGGGAGGAGGGAGGGAGGGAGGGGGAGGGAGAGGGAGAGAGAGAGAGAGAGAGAAGAAGAGAGAGAGAGAGAGAGAGAGAGAGAGAGAGAGAGAGAGAGAGAGAGAGAGAGAGAGAGAGAGAGAGAGAGAGAAAATCTTCTTGCATGGTAATATTTACTACATAGATTATATGGAGTCTGTGCAAGGAAAACAGTCTATTACCATTTGGTTAAACCAAATCAAATGATAAATATGGACACTGGGAAATGACAAAAATGCTGAAAAGGCTTATGCATAATAACTTTGCAAAGAGGAGGCATAGAATCTTTGTCACCACACATGAGTATTTACATGCACTCAACAAAGCAGCCACTTCAGTAACCTAATGGGCAAATTTTCAGCCATGTGATTGTCGTGACACAACCAGATACAATGGGTTAAGAAGAATCTGTATTACTCATTTTCCTCACAGGCAAATTCAATGTAAGTTCCTAATAAAGGTTTTGTTAGCTAAAAATGTGGCATCATAAACATGCACTCACTCATCCCAAGTAGAAGATAAGCATGCAATAAACTGATTATCAAACTGCCATGACTAAAGATATATGAAAACAAGATAAATAAATAGGTAATTCATACAGATAAACATATATATATATATAGGTACATATAGATGTATAGTGGCAGCGTGCATGTGCATGTAAGAATGTGTTTAATATTTTTACTCTAATTCTTTTCTCGAAGCTGCTGGACTAATCCACTTATCAAAAAAGGGCTTTATTAATTTTTCATTCATCTATATAAACTAAGCAGAATCCCAAAATTCTTAATTAACATTCAACTCTTACAATTTCTATAATACAAATCACAATGGCTAAGACAAAACATGATGAATATGAAACATCAGATCTTATAATGTACTCTTGGGACTCTTGGGACTCAAATTATTTGTTTTCCCTTAAATAAGGTCTTAAAATTACCTTTCTCACACTTTCATAATCTAATCATATGTTAATGCTCCCAAAACAAGCTATGATGTCACAGGCTGGATCAGCTGGGTGCTCATCTAAAAGGAATGGGTGATAACGGCTTTATCTTATCTCTATCATTCTACTACTTTCCCCTTAACATTTTCAAGTCCATAGTGATACACAACCCACTTCTTTAGATCTATACCCTTTGATTTCACAAGTCTTAAGAAATCCCTTCATGATTACAAAACATGAATATAAATATTTTCTTGTTACAAACAAAGAAGCAAATAGGTCTATATCACTAAGTTGTTCTTTCAAAAACAAGGGCAAGTAAACATCGCTTACAGAATCATATTACCCCACCAAAGACGTCGTTCTACTTGTGTTTTTACATATAGATGGCTCCATTAGTATTAACTCAAAAATGAGCCAATTGAGAACTACCTGTTTCACCTGTTTACCCTTTTCCTTGATTTGCAATAATATTTTCTAGGATCTAATACTGTTGTTAGTAATATCAACAAAAATATAGTAACTGTAATGTTTATAACAAAAATAACAGTGTCAATATTGATAGCATTAGTAAAAAAGCTATCTCAAGGAAAGGTGAGGTCACAAGATCTACTAATTGACTCCACTGTGGCTAATCACTGGCAGAACAATCTATGTACAGAAACACTTAACAAAACAATACTAAAGTGAACACAACATTTTCCCTTCGCCATTGGATTACCTAATAACATTTGCACAATGGAAACTCGCCAGACAATTTCAACAAACACTAACATATAGGTCTGTATTCACTCACTGACCAACAAACTACAATGAAGACAAATTACAGAACAAATTATTGTATCTTTCAAAGAAAGAAAAAAATATATATATACATATATATAAGTGACCATTGAGCCTCATCAAAACGTGGGCTTGCCATCAACGAAGAAACACATACCTGATTTTCACAATAGACTCGTGGACAGTGACCAAAATCTCCAGCTTGATACTTCTCTATCATTTGAGCTATGCCACGATTGGTTAAAATGTAGCGAGCGTGGATGAGGCCATATAGCATTTCTGCCGCCTGTTCTATTAGGTCGCTCTGGTGAGGGATCTCTTCTTCCTCGTCTGTTGGTAAAGAAAATTTTGTCCATCAAGACATAAGTCACACAAGAGCCGAAAGGAAAACTACAATAAGATTTATGGGAAAAAATCCATTCACACTGCAATGTGTGTATATGTATGTGTATATGTATATGTATGTGTGTGTATATGTATATGTATATATATATATATATATATATATATATATATATATATATATATTATATATATATATATATATATATATATATATATATATATATATATATATATATGTATATATATATATATATATATATATATATATATATTATATTATGTATATATATATAATATATATATATATATATATATATATATATATATATATATATATATATATATATATGAACACAAGCACAAACAAAGTAAAGTGCATACAAAAATGAAAATGAAATAAGCCACAATAAGGAATTTTAAAAATTGCAACATTTCAAATTCTTCATGAGTTCCTCTTCAGAAAAATATATGTATATATTCATCTATACGTAAATATGAATAAGTATATGTATGTGTGTGTGTACGTACATTTGTACATGTGTATATATGTATATGTGTATATGTGTATATGTATATGTGTATATGTGTATATGTATATGTATATGTGTATGTATATATGCATATATGTATATATGAATATATGTATATATACATATATAAATATATGAGAGAGGAGAGGAGAGGATAGGAGAGGAGAGGGAGGGAGGGGAGGAGAGGGTGGAGGGGTGGAGAGGGGAGGAGAGGGGAGGAGAGGGGGAGGAGAGGGAGGAGAGGAGGGGGAAGGAGAGGGATGGGAGGGGAGAGGGTGTAAGAGGCCAAATGTTGGGTCCTAAAAGAGTATGGTAGATGGCGAGCTTAGGGTTAAGGTAGACAAGGGGAAGGGGGAAAGAGAGGGGAGGGGAGAGGGAGAGGGGAGAGGGAGAGGGGAGAAGGGGAGAGGAGAGGGGAGAAGAGAGGGGAGGGGAGACAGGAGGAGGAGAAGAGAGGGAGGGGAGACAGGAGAGGAGAAGAGAGGGAGGGGAGACAGGAGGAGAAGTGAAGAGAGGGGAGGGGAGGGGGGAGAGGAGAGAAACATTGCTATATTTGTGTATCATTGTTAGGAATCCCTCAAGACAAATTATTGCACTATGCAATTAACCTTTTAATCTTAGTTAACTTCAAAAGTCAGAGTTTCCCTCTAGTGGCCTACCTGGTTCAAGATCTAAAATCATGTCGAGTGCCTGGCGATAGTGTGGTACCTGTTCATTTAGGCCTGTGAGGTTAAACTTGTCCTGTATGTAATCTTCATCTACCTGAAAACAGAATTTAGAATTTACATTAAACAAGGAAAAAGGGGAATATTACTAGTTCAATTTTGCTTTTTAAATCATTAAATGAAAATAATCCTGAAAAACTTCTTACCTCACAGAAAAATTCATTTCCTCGAAGGCCACAGAACCAAGCAATCCACGACACCTCTTCTGAACTGCTCATCTTGCTGAAATTAAAACAGATTTTTCAGGGAGAATCTATAATAGTTTCCATATTTATATTTCTGATGTTAAAAAGCCAATAGTAGTAGATTGAACTTTATCATAGTGTCACAAAATTGCAACACAGATATTTTAGACCGGTTTTGATTATATCTTCATCAGAAATACACACATGAATGAGAATGAATAATCTTTACAATACAATTTTATTCATTCTCATTCATACCTTTCCTACATTTGTTACAACAAATACAATTCAAACAGACTATCAACTTGAATTGAACAACCATTCCCTAACAAAAGAGAAACAAGGGAATCTGTGAGAAAAGCGGTAGCTACGCCCTATATTCCACATGACCTTGTCTAGTTCTTTAGAAATAACACCCCAGTTACTTTTATGGATTCCTTTACGTCTCTGCGTGTCTGACCTATTGCTAATGTGCACATTCTACAGTAAAATGCCTCGACACAGGAAAATATGGCGTGAAATTCAAATAACAATATACATAACCAAATTAATTTGATGCAAAACAATATCTTTAAATCCCTGCAAAGAAATTCAAGGACTTTTATTTCATTACACAAACACAAACACAAACACACACACACATATACATGAACACATATACATATACACACATATATATATATACACACATATATATGAACACAAGCACAAACACAATCACGTGAACACAAAAATGAAAATGAAACTAGCCACAATGAGAACTGAAAATAAGCGTAATTGAAAATACGCTTATGTTCAATTCTCATTGTGGCTAGTCATTTTCACATATATATATATATATATATATATATATATATATATATATATATATATATATACATATATCTATATACATACACACATATACATATACATATACATACATATATACATATACATACATATATACATATACATACATATATACATATACATACATATATACATACATACATATATACATATACATACATATATACATATACATACATACATATATACATATACATACATACATATATACATATATATACATATATATACATACATATATACATATATATACATACATATATACATATACATACATATATACATATACATACATATCTACATATACATACATATATACATATACATATACATACATATACATATACATACATATATACATATACATACATATATACATATACATACATATATACATATACATACATACATACATACATACATACATACATACATACATACATACAGATTGCTTAGGTTGCATGAGGGCTGCTGGATTTCACTCAATACTTTTGTTTGCATGTTTCAGTGATGGACAGATAGGAAGTACAAAATGAAAAGTAAAAATCTATGCATATGGTGCTGTCTGTTGAAATGAGGCTAGTAATATGACTGGATCATTAGATCACTACCTGTCATTTCCATGGGCCTAACAACTTTACACTATATTTCAAAAAAAGTGAGAGGGGTGACAAACTTATCAGCTGAAGTTATGTGAAAAAAAAATTTAAAAATTAAAAAAAAAATAGATTAGATTTGGTACATCTGACATCATTCTACCCCTGTTGCTAACAGGCTTCTCTGTCTACAGGCTAGTTACAGGGAAGGATGCATGCAATACCCAAAGATAGGCCAATTTTAAACAAAACCAAATTTTGAGTGTTGTTGTCTTATAAAAATAATCAGTAATGGTAAATAACTAACAGGTTCATCAAGTTGATAGCCTCAAGTCTGTCTTATTCACCAAGATCAGGAAACAATCTGACTTCACCAACACAGTTTGGCCACTTTACGGCTGGCATGGTGCCATGTACTACTTGCATACTCCATACATGTTTCCAACCTAAAAACTTAAACATACTAGCAAATACAATATGTATTAATTAATATGATCCTTTCTGACAATAAATAGCAATAAGCAAATCAATGTGACCCATCTGGGAGAAATCTAGACATGTGAATCAAAAGATACATGCACAATGTAGTCTACTGTGTATTCAAATAATGATACCTGCACCTGATGAATAAAGGTCTAATAGAGAAACAGAAAACTTTTATGGATGTGTCATTATGATGTTACAACAAAATCCAAAAAGTAAGTTGGTACTTACAGAATTCTAGTTATCAAACACATATTTGATGTTTTAGAAGAAAAAACATGCGACTTACAAAAAATAAAAAAAAATGAAATAGATAATAAAGAACTAAGTGAAACACTGTCTACACTAAGTAAAAGAACAAAACACTGAACACACAGGAAAGACCAAAGTTGCCTATTACTTATCATTCCATGTAAAATATTCCACTAGGTACAAAAATCACCTTCCTGACCATATTATAAAGGAAATACTTTATCATTAGCCTGTACTACTGACATAAATCTTAACCTAACTGTTTTAAACTGTCAAGCAAACTTTATGATAAAACAAAAACAAAATATACCCAGCAAATCAGACCTATGATTCGTAACTGTTCTGAAGCAAGAGATGTATGTGAATGTAGATTTCCATGTCAAAAGCTGAACTGATGCTCCTACGAAGACCATCAAAATTCCAAAAAACTTTTGGTTGTTAACATTTCAAGGAAAAAATCCCTGCTCTTTAATTGTTGGAGCATTCCTTCACATAGAATTAATATGGACTTGAGTGTGACAGACCACAGCAGCTGAACCCCAACCTTCTGATACTCAGTCATATGACACAGAATATAGGCCAAAGTTATCTTTGGTCTTGCTAAACTTTTGGTATTACAAGAAGCTGATAATAACACTCACTCTTTTCTGCAGCAATTTACTTTTTCTGCAAGGACTGGCAGCTTAAAAGAAATAACTACATTCCAGTCCTACTCAATATGCTTGAATATTTATATGATACAAGTTCTGATGCTTATTCTGCCCAATTTAATCAAAAGATTCTAAATAAAATCAAGGTTATACGAATGTAAGATATCAAATAACTCTGATGAGAATACAGATGATTATCAATGAAAATACTTGCAAATGTACTCAAACTATCGCGATTTTCCCCCCATTCCCTCAGGACAGCTGATGAAAATGCATAATGATACGAGGCATACTTCCCATTTCCAAAAGAACCCTTCTTGCATAATGCAGGAGCTCTGATGTAAACAAGATGCTCGCATACTGTGAGGCAACATGTGACACGAGACTGTGAGATCAACAAGAAACACTGGAAACACTGCGTGAAAATGGAACCTTCCATTTGCTTAAAAGAACTTCAAGATGCTGATAATTAACTTCATATATATCAAACCCACTCTAAGTAATGGAGATAAACTTCCTGACCCCGCTCTCTTTGCATGATGATGAATGGGTAAACGTTACTGTCTTATACACATGCCATGCGTTTTCAAAAAGAATGACTAATGAGATTCTGATCATTAATGACTGAGTTTTTTAAGCTGACTGATTGACTCAAAGGTGTAGCAGAGTAAGAGGAATCTACTGATACCAATATTGTTATAATCAGTCATGTAAAGGGAGAGAAAATGCCACAAATTAAAAAAACATGACATACACTTGGGAAATAAAATGAGGTACAAGATCCAAGTATTTGCCCAGTCTCTATCCTGCTAGAACATATGATATGAAGGTGTTGGCCAGGTCGAGGGTAAGGGGTGGCAGCCCCCAAAATGCTGTTTAGAAGACAAAGCCCCCTACTTACAATGATTGCACATTGCAATAGCTAAATTTGTGAAAGATTTTCTTCTGTTTTTCCCTCCAATTTTCCAGATTCTTGTCATGCCCTCACCAGCTATCAGGGACGATATTATATAAATGTTTCATTGGTGACTGAACAGAGAAAAAGCTTTCACTAGAAATTGCTATTAGGTATCATTTCAAAATTTGGTTATTGTTACCGAGAATGATAAACAGTGGTAGATAGACATCATCATTTTGTAGAGCATAAAAAATAGTTATAAACACCACAGGTACAGCTGCTGCAGCCTCATATTTACCGCAAAATGACAAAAATGTATCCGGCATATAATCACAAAGGGACTAAAGGCGTTTTAAGCAGGAAAAGTTCTTGCCCAAAATCTAAACTCTTTCTTACTAAGTCTAGAATTTTTCTTGCTTTCACAAGTGACCACCGTAAATGGCTAGACTTGCGCATGCTAAGTCAAGTGATGACCCATCACCATGGCAACAGCGTAATTTGTGTACCATGATGGTTACAAGCCTTCGATTGTGGGCGTTGGCCAAGAACTCTACTTAATATTTTATAAGAGAAATAAATTTTTTTCCGGTATCTGATTCTGTAATTTCCATAAAGCTATATTCAAAGATTTTGAAATTAACTGAAAACAAAAGGAAATAATGGAGATTATTGGAATGGAAAAAACTTTTTTGTTATAAATCATAAATCATTATAAGACGAACAATTTATCTCTTACTTTTGAACTCATTATGTCTCTAGATCGAGAATATATATACTTTTCACTGAAATAAAGAATAACTTAAGAGAAAAAATCTGAAAAAAATCTAGCAACATTCTTCTGTGGATATTGTATTCGATGACTTATTTCTAACTTCATAAAATCATGTATATGTAAAAGGCATATATTTCAATTCAGTGCTAAATTCAGCGAAGTTCTTTTTTTTATAGCGCATCAGAGTGTAAGGGTTGCCAATCAGAAGTGCATGTCACCATTTTAGAGGCACTGTATTTGTATATAGGAGAAAATATTATTTTGTAAAGACATTTACTTCTCTGCATCTAGATGCGGCACTAGCTTGTTAGTCGTTTTGAAACACATGCTTAAACTGTTGCCAACTGCTAATGAAATAAACTCCACCCTTGTGGGAATACTTGTCTATTACTTTTAAAACCCAAGTATGTACATTTGTGTTATTTTGATATTTCTAAGCTCTCCAAGGGTGGTTATGATTTGTACTTCATAGAAAAACATTTCCATATGTTTGGCATCACTGAACAAGTCTTGCCTGCTGATCCATACGTTTTAGGCAGGGAACGGTACAGTTCTTCGCCTATTGCCAAGAATTCTTGCCCAAGTGCTTAAAACGCTTTAATTTCAAAACACCTTCAAACAGCCAAAGTTTTAAGGTCACATTTTCTGTAAGTTGGCAAAAAGTGCTAATAAAGAGGAAGGTACAGGGGACTTGTACCCCTACTTTAGTAATGAATAGTAGAAGGAAAGGTTATGTTTAGGTTTTTGGGTTTGCCAGAGACCGTTTTGGGACTTCTAAAGAGGGTGCGTTGTTTTCAGTAACAAATACCCCAAATTTACACTAATTTCTAATGTATCTCACAGTTAAAAGTAACTAGACATTGTATTTTCCCCTACTTGTCTATATACAAACTGCTAATATTTGAAAGTAAAGACACACACTCAAAGGTGGAAGCTATTTATAGGAATGTATACATAGCAAAACTATGTAACCTATCTCTCATCTTCGATCGTGATATGCCAGAAACAAAATAGAATTCCCGATAGAGAAAAATAAATTCAAGAAAATAAAGAAGCCACAAGGAATTCCATGCTGCTTGCTTACACTGCGAAAAGACCTTCAAAACGGCCATTTTAACTCGGAAAAAATGTAACTAAACCTCAGAAAGCCTCAGTCATCCTACTTCCATCTGCATATCCTTCGAAGGATCCTTCACCTTCCCGGAGAAGTAAATAAACTTGTAAATAAACTATCTCTCGCGAGTGAAGGTTGTGGACACACTTGCCATCAGGAAGAAAAAAACCTGCAACCCCAAACAAATCTTCGATTTCCCAGGCCTTTCCCAGCTTCACTCCTGACAAAATCCATCTCACCCACCTCAAGCAACCCTATAACACCCCTACGACGTCCGACAGGTTTGCAAAGTGGGTACAAGGGTGATAAAAGGGTGAAAAGTACGTACCGTTTCTTGTTCGCCACGCTAGGCCGAGGGAGGAAGGCGGCGCTGCTGCCATCTGGCGGCGGCGGCGGAGGCGAGCATTCGGGGC